AATATATAAATATTATGCCATATATTGTATATTTATATATAATAAATATTTTATATAAAATAAATATTTTATGTAATACATTTATACATCTATATATATTTTTATAGATTACATATTGCATACAATTATATATAATATAATTATATTCTATAATATAAATGTGTTATTTATAATTTATATATATCTAGGACTGTGTTCTTGGTGGAAATTCCAGCTTACTACTGACATTCAAGATCTGATGGAGATAATATTATCTACCTTTAAAGTGAGAAGTGCCAAAAAGTTGCTTGTACAAATGCACACTTGTCCCTTAACTGCTCATAAAGCCCCCCATCCCGCACCATACCAATAATGACTGCTAACAACACAAAGACGGATCTACTTAGATTTTGTTCTACTTGCCTGAAGATGCATAACCCACTCACGTTTTAAAAGTCCGCATCATCGCTGAATTCTTTTTTTCTTTAAAAATAAAAGAAGCACGCTCAAAAGGTGTAAAGCAGTAAGCTGCAATACCGTGTTCTTTTCCTGTCTAAGGTATTAATATTTCACAATATTCCCCTGCGACCATTACTTGCCTGGCCACTGGACTCTTTAAACAACCAAATCTTATAACACAAGAAAATGCCTTCACTCTCATGATGAAGGAATCCGGCTCATCACCATCGGTTGGTGAACAGAGACGGAATAAATATTTATGGTGCACATTGCATAGAAGAACCCACAAAACAAAGCACAAGAATTTGCCTATCTTTTTTTTCCTACCTTTTTCCAGGCCTGAGGTTATCAGTCTCTTTCTATAAACATCTTTCCGTGGAACTATTTTTAAACACCACGCGCACCGTGGTGTGCTAGGCCTCAACTCACGAGTGCTCGTTTGCCAAGACAGGTGTGCCCAAGAATTCACAGAGCCACACACCACCCCGGCGGGGTGGAAATATTTATTGGGGGGATACATCATGAACATGCAGAGTTCTTGGTAAGAAGAAGAACACGGAAGCTTTGGGTGTCTCACAGAGACTTAACTCCATTCACAGCTGAGGTCTTAGACCTGATATATTTTTTAATAACCTGGGCCTTATGGCTCCCACCTGTCATCCTAGCCATCCAAGAAACTAAGATCTAGAGGATGGCAGTTTAAAGCCAACCTGGACAGAAAAGTCCGGGAGACGCCTCTGACATAACCGGCAAAAATCTGGACGGGAGGCATGGCTCAAGTGGCAGAGCACTTAGTAAACACACACCAAACGACGCTGCATCTGTCTGGCGTTTCTGAAGATAGGTAGGCCCCACTGCTCCCCTCAAGTATCACCGTGAGAACCCCGAGTTTCTCACAGGGAGCGTTGTTATTTTCCTCTCCTGGAACTTCATGTATAGTTAACCGAGATCTTTGAAACAAAACACGTCAATAAAACACAGCAGCGTTGCTGTTGTTTTAAATAACTTAAGTTGGAAGCCGGGCGCCGGTGGCTCACACCTGTCATCCCAGCTACTCAGGAGGCTGAGATCTGAGGATCATGGTTCAAGGCCAGCCTGGGATAGGAAAGTCCGTGAGACTCTGATCTCCAAGGAACCACCAGAAAACCGGGAGTGGAGCTGTGGTTCAAGGGGTAGAGCACCAGCCTTGAGTGAAAGAGCTCAGGGACAGCGCCCAGGCCCTGAGTTCAAGCCCCACAAACGACATTTACCAAAAAAAGAAGCGTATGACTGTGTTAATTTCTTATCTTTTTGTTCTTTTTCAGCGATCACCGCCTCGGGAGCCACCAAGTGTTTCAGAAAGAGAAATCGGTGATTCAACTTCACCTGCAGAGACGCGGGGCCGCGCTGGGGAAGTTCGCTCGACAGGTGGGACTCCCTTCGGGTTGGTTTCCAGGGAGCAACACCTCGGGAGAAGTATTTCTGTCTCCACGAGATCCTCCGCGGGTTTGGAATGAATGATGCTCAGTCCTCTGCGGGTTTGGAATGAATGAATGATGCTCAGTCCTCTGCGGGTTTGGGATGAATGAATGATGCTCAGTCCTCTGCGGGTTTGGAATGAATGAATGATGCTCAGTCCTCTGCGGGTTTGGGATGAATGAATGATGCTCGGTCCTCTGCAGGTTTGGAATGAATGATGCTCAATCTTCTGCAGGTTTGGAATGAATGATGCTCAATCTTCTGCAGGTTTGGAATGAATGATGCTCAGTCCTCTGCGGGTTTGGAATGAATGATTCTCAGTCCTCTGCAGGTTTGGGATGAATGAATGATGCTCAGTCCTCTGTGGGTTTGGAATGAATGATGCTCAGTCCTCTGTGGGTTTGGAATGAATGATGCTCAGTCCTCTGCGGGTTTGGAATGAATGAATGATGCTCAGTCCTCTGCAGGTTTGGAATGAATGAATGATGCTCAGTCCTCTGCAGGTTTGGAATGAATGATGCTCAGTTCTCTATGAGTTTGGGATGAATGAATGATGCTCAGTCCTCTGTGGGTTTGGGATGAATGAATGATGCTCAGTCCTCTGCAGGTTTGGAATGAATGATGCTCAATCCTCTGTGGGTTTGGAATGAATGATTCTCAGTCCTCTGCAGGTTT